GACCGTTTAATGCAAGGCCTGGTGATGATGATGTTGCTGGTATCGAGCGTCCGATTTATGCTGGTCGCGACGATTCCTTTTGATGCTTCCGGCGATGAAGGTCCAAATTTATGTTTGGATTTAAAAATAAAACTTCTTCTTATTTCTTACTTGCGTGTAATTAACAATTTCTTTTAACAACGTTAAGTGCTAACAACATCGGTTAAGTAATTAAAAAACAGTAGTCGCGCCCCGTAGTGGTGTCAAATGAAAAACGTCATCGCGCGCCGGCCAATAGGGTTTCCGAATAATGTTAATGAAGTTATATGCAAGTGATGCGTAGACAGGGATCAACGGATTTTGATGAAATTTGGCACAAATGTAGGACATAATCTAAAAGAACACATAGGCTACTTAAGTTTTTTCCGCGTGGACGGAGTCGCGGGCGACAGCTAGTGAGACAAATCTTACTAATATTACAAATGTGAAGGTTTAGATTGATAGATGGATGTTTGTTAGAAAACAACTCCAGAACAATTCAACGAGCCTTAATGAAATGTTGCATAAATGTAGAACATAGTTAAGAAAAACACACAGGCTACAAATTAAGTTTTTTTTTTAATTTTGTGCGGACGGAATCGCAGGTAACAGCTAGTCAAAAATAAGCCATAAATAAAAATTCGATACAAAATAAAATCTTTTATTAATTAGGCACTTATTTTCTTCGCTTTCTTATCTGTATAAATTCTTTGGAACAACACGAACTTTCCCGGCTGTATATTTGCATGAACAGCGCCATCTATCCACGAGGGAGTTTCACAGTGTTGCCAGCTTCTACAATCTTTTGGTACTTGTAATTTATCCAACAACTGTGTTGCCAGATCCGGTATCAAAGGTTGTAATATTATAGAACATATTCTTAATGTTTCCGTTATTATATAGAGAACTGCATCCAATTGTTCTTGAGAATTTTTTTTCTTTAATTCCCAAGGTTTTTGTGTTTCAAAGTATAAATTAGCTAAATGTAAAACATGGATAACTGAGTCCGCTGCTTTGTAGAATTGATAATTGCTGTAGTAACCATGACATAGTTCTGGAATATAAAATTATTTTGATTTTTAAGTAAAAGAGTATGATAACAGGAAGTGTTTCATTTAATTACAGTAGTTCAGAGAGCGTCAGTGGCTCAGGGGTCAAGCACTTGACTTGTCTGCAGGTCCTGGGTTCGAATCCCGCCATGTACCTATGTGTTTTTCTATTTCCGATTTACATATGTACATTTATCAGACGTTCTTACGGTGAAGGAAAACATCGTGATGCTGCACATATCTGAGAAGAAATTCAAAGATATGTGTGAAGTCAACCCGCACTTGGCCGGCATTGATTATGATCTAGTCAACTAAAGGCTCCGAGCAGGTCAGTGGGGACGTATAGTAAGCTGATGATACCTGGCAGTCTCTCCACCGCGTCCATGAGTTTCCCTGTCGTATCCTCTCCCCTGCAGGCGGTGAGGGTGTGAGCAGAGACGGTGTTGTGTGTGTGCAGTGTGTGCA